GGGGGGGGGGAGAGACCAGCAGGCGATAGACGTTTACGACGGGACTTGCTCGCCGTGTTTACGTTCCAGGCACGAAACGTGTTCCATCCATGGATACCAAGCGGCCACGGGAACTCGCACGGGCACACGTCAGCCACTGGCCTCGTAACCGAAGGCGAAAGCTCCCGGGCCTTTGCCGACGCTCAAAGATACAAGAACGTCAATTTGTCGCGCGCGTATACCGTCCGACGGGATCCCGCCGATGAAGTACGCAATAGCGGTACGCAAATATCAGACAGCTGAAACGCGAATGCCCGACCGAGATGGTCACACGGGATGCGAAACGCTTGCCTCGCCGCGTACACGTACGTACACACGTAAGAAGACACATCCCGATTACTCTGCGCGAATGGCGCGACTCCAAATTTCCAACCCTTCGCTTTTGTTCGGCCCGTGAGTCGTCCGGTGCGAATATAGCGCGATCATGTACGTTACCTTCCCTCTTTCTCTCGCTCGCTCCGTCGTTAGTAGTGTGCGCACGTGGGCGTAGACACGTATGTGTAACAGCCACGTGTGTGCACCATACGTAGGAGTCGAACTCCGAAATGGCGTCATGTACGTCCGCCAGCCAACCAGCTAGGCAACGAGCGCGCGCGTGCACGTCCGATGGTATCTCCGATGTGGGTCACACACATGGACACACGCGAAGCGAAGTCGAGCCGCTACGAGCCGGAAACCCTGCATTCAAAGCCGGACGAGGGGGACTTTCGGTAGCGAACGAGAGAGGGAAGGAGAGTAAGAGACGGTGGGATTAGAGGCATGGAGGGGAACGGGGTGGGCGAGAGGGTGGCAGGGTGGCAGCAGAGAGGGTTAGGCCGGAGATAACGGCAGGCTCTGATATCTCAAGTCCATTTCTGGCCCGTGCCACGAGCCATGGACAAATATCGCGCGCCCCGACTTCCTTTTCTTCTTCCTCCACTTCCACCGACCCCCGGCCGACTGACTGCGCTCCGCTACTGGCCACCCTCGACCCTTCGGAACTACATCGTGTCACCTGAAGCAGCCGGCCGTATATCCCCCGCCGGGGCTCTGGAGAACTCTCTCCTTCCCCTGAGCAAGTTTTCCAATAAATTTCTATGTCCGCCGGCTGTGCATCTGCAACGGACGACCGGGATCGCCTTATTATGCGGCCATTCGGCGCTGCCGAATTTCCCCCGATATCTCGACTGCCGGCCTGTCGATGATAAGCGTCGCCGTCGGTTTCTTCCGCCCGCTCGCGCGACGGCAATCGCCCCCGCTGGGCCTGGAGGTTCGCGCACGTCTGACCGTGACAAGGAATCTGATTCGCCGTAATGGAAACGCGCTATCGTGATTTTCATGCGCGGCACACGTGTTTTTATTGCGCCCCGCCGACCCGAGGCGAATCGGGCTGCTTGGCAGGTCCGCGACTCGGAGAAGAGCGAACTTGTGAACTTTAAAACTTCAGGACGTATCGCTCGTATAGTCCCAGCGAAGAGGAACGGGGAATTAGAAGTAGCCCAGCAGGTAGCAAATGACATATCAATAACGTGGGATCGACGTTAAAGACATCGTAAAAACGTCATTGACGACGTCATGTTTGCATTTCTAACTTCCATGTAAAAACATAAGGCGTATAAAGCAGTTGAACAACATATTTTTATAACATCAAAATCTTTATGATCTGTTCACTTTATTTGACGTTGTATCTAATTTTTCAACTTTTATCTCCGAAAAATAAAATTTTGCATATATCATTTTAAATACTTAAAAATTATTTTACTAAAAACAGCGACATCATATATTCTCATAATTTAAAACACTCCCAAACAGCAGGATGACGTCAAATGACGTTTCATCCACATTTTCATCGTTATTAAAGCGTCATTCGATCTGGTCAAATGTGCTGTGCCTAATATTTCAAAATGGAACAACTTCTGACCCAGATTCTGAATCAATGTCAAATTTTTTCCGATTACTTTTATATGCAGTAAGATAAATCTCTAATTTATTCAAGATTTTTTTATGGGCAACACCCTTTCACAAACGCGTCACATGCGAGAAGGTCATGGGGCGTGTTCTCGCGTCTGAAGCCGGCTCGCATTGTTAATCTCGCATTTCCAATTCGGTGACCGGCGATCAGCAGAGGTCATGCGAATTTATTTGCATCGTGGAACGCGTTCTTTTCGCGATCTCTTCGCTCGCGATACTGTAAATACCGTAGAAGATGCACCAGTTAACAACGACGGCGCGAGAAAGTAGAATATAAATAAAACAACACGTGTGTAGATCTCCTGATTTGCCCATCCCGAGAATATTGCCCGCGATTAATCGAGGTGCCTTGGCTCTCCAGCTAATGTGGTGACATGATTTCGGGCCGGCAACGAGATAACCGAAAATTTCCCGTTAAATAACTATTACTCCGTTCAACCCATTACAATCATTTATTATTATTGCCTCGCGTGAAAAGCCATTCAGAGCAACCGTGCCGAATTGGAATGGAGAATCGAAGATGGCGCGCACGCGTGTATGTGTATCCGCGAATGTGTTGAACTCGACTGATGGTCCCAATCGAACTCGATGAGTCGCCGCGGTCGTTATCGACACGCCGGACCCCGAAGAAGCTCGTTCGTAATAACGCGTTCTGAACCTTTTTCGGGAGGGACTAATTAACCGGAATTCTTGCCTCAGGTGGCCCAACCGACAGTTCCTAATCACTCGATCCACCGTTTGGAACGTCGATGCGAACGACCCGGATTCGCTCTCTTCTTCTTCTCTCTCTCTCTTGACTTTCTAAATGGATTTTGCGATAGGTGGGGCAGGAGGGCAGAGTTTCGGGCTGCTGAGATACGGCGGACCATCGATCAACAATTTAACGACACGAAACGAGTCGCTCGTAACAATGTCGAGTTGTCTCGCTGTTGGCCCGAGATTTTCTCGTATTTTGGCATTAATCGCCGAGAAAGATGGAGGAGCGAACTGGGGGACGGTGTCTTCTCTCGCCTGAACTTCCTGAGCCGCGCGTCGATCATTTCTCATAATTACAAGCTCGCAATTTACGAGAGACTCGCGGTCGTCGTTGTGTCTGAGGGAAGACTGAGTACTCCGTATATTACGCATAGGGGAAGAGAGAGAGAGAGAGAGAGAGAGAGAGAGAGATAATGCAATTTGCGAAGGGCCGAATATGAAGGGGGCGTTAAACGCGCGATTTTGCGTGATGCTGTTAACGAAGGCTGACTTGCCGTAATCCGCGGGCGAGTTAGTCCGGGGCGACAGAGTGAATGAGATCATTCGCACGTGGATAATATTATGTCACGCATTTTGAAACAATCCAAATAGCGATACCCCGATATCACCGTTATGAGCCATAACGATCAAAATTCATGGGAACTGCAGCGAGGCAGAATTGTCGTCCCGCGCCGTTGACGTCGTGTAAATGGAAATGAGTGCACTTGTTCGCCCAAAAATCAATAGCGTTCCGCGCGAAATGGCCAATAAAATATGCAAAAGTACTAAACAATGTAAATCCCATGAATCACAGTCGTCGGACGGTGCCGTCGGCGAATTTTGCGACGCGAGAGGAAATGGTGAGGATGTGCGATACATCGATAATGTAACCGACTGAAATGATGGTCAATGATATCGTTCTCGTTGCTCGCAACTCGATAAATAACGGCGCGCGTTGCGCGACTGTAAATTTCACGTATGTGCAAAACAGTATTGAAGCGGAGGAAAAAAGTCTCGCAAAAAATCACAATCTTCACATTTCGAAGTGTAAAAATTCTCTCTCGAGTGTTCATCCCCCGAGGATGTTCACATAACATATCGAGTGTGTTCATTTTACACTGAGAGGAAAAATGTCCGAAAAATAACAACGTGTTTATTCGACGGGTTCTAATAGTTTATTTACTCGAAAATTTAAATCCTTTCATTTGAATACAATAAACAATAGCTTCTTCATGAAAAGCCAAAAGGTTTTAAGAGAATTTTTTTCTCGCACGCAAAATTTTACTTTACTTTAGTACACGTATAAATACGCCATTAGTACGCACCGAATAAATATTGTTTACTTCTTCCTCTTTCTCTTTCACTGTGTGTAGAATAAACTGTCCGCGCGTCTTCTGCAAACTTTGTTGCATTTGCACTTTTGTCACGATACAAGAAGGTCGAATAATCCGGTTGGTCTAACCACCGCGTTGGCGGAGTTTACGGTGGTAACTGATTCACGCTAACAGTAACGCTGTAACTTCATTGAAGTTTGTACTCACCGGGCCAAATTGTTCGAAGTAATTTTTGACGTCCTCCAGCGTCGTTGGCGCCGATAACCCCCCGACGAATATCTTCTTTGTTCTCGTCACCATCTGCAGAACAGAAAAGAAGAAATGGGGCCGTTAAAGTATGCATGGACTCGCGAGATCATAAGCGAGCCGCGTTGCTTTGAAATATTTGGTTTTCTCATTAGTTAAGGCGACATTAACGGCAAGGTGGCGGAACTACTAATAATTCGAGAGTGGGTGGGTGTTGGAGGGAAAAAGGAGGTGGAGACGAAGGAGGAAATAAAATTTCCGCTGCGGCACGATCGTGCTTCGGCGAGAAAAACAGATAAGAAATTTATCAAATATGGATGGTTTGTGTCTGGATGCGCTGCGACATTTCCAGGCAGCAGACAGCAGTCCTCCCGGCGGCCGGCGGCGGTGGTTTTCTTACTCCGTTACTTCTCTAGCCTTTCGTGTTTCCCTACCTGTCTGGTTATCGACGGCGTGGCCGTAAATAATCGACGCGGCTGCATTATTAAACGCGCGCAACTTACGCTTCGGAATAACGTGTCAATAGATAAGGCGCGCTCGCGCGGTACTTCGCCTCCATGAAATTCAGCGAAACGGTACGCGATTCACCCTTTGCCTCCTCCCTTTTCTCCCATCTTTCCCGAATGATGAAGGCGGAAGAAGGACGAAAGGGCGGCGATAGTATGAGTTACCGAATCACGCTTTAAAGGGTAGAACGACGTGCGCTCCCGCGAGTGCTAAAGGTCACGGTCGAAACCAGAAGAAATGTTATCCGGGTATGCGATTGTCGTGGATTCTCCGCGCGCGCGCACGAGAGAGAGAGAGAGAAAAAATATTGCGAAGCGAAGGGAAATGTGAAGGAGTACAGCAGCGAGGTCGGGACGAACCGACGCGGCATCGTTCTTCTCAAGGTTGTTTCTGACCGAGTCTGAAGCGTGACATCGGGATCCTATATCGGATGCGGTTACGAGCCCACGTGCGGCAGCTCGACGTCTTCGATCTCCGATATTTCCCGCGTCTACCGCGCGTTAGATATCGAACGTCAGGCCTCGTCACATTACCCACGCATCGCGGGGACTGCATCAACTTGCGGATATCAATGCGGCGTGGATAATATGATGGACGAATTAGAGCGTGGCGGGAAGTTGGATCAGCGCTCACACGAAGAAGCGGTCGGACGAGAACGGCACGCGACGCGACTCGCAGGGGTCGAGAGAAAGAGAGAGAAAGAGAGGCGGTAAACAACGACCTGAAGTCGCTCAAATATCATGGAATTATTCGATCGAATTTGACGCACCGTCCGTATGCGCTCTGAAACGCGCTCTCATGCGGATTTGATTTCGAGGGAAATTAGAATTTTACGCGATGAGTCTTTGTCGCGCGCGCGCGCGTCTCACTAGGATAAAGCGTCTCTCATTTAACGGTCTCGAGTTGAGTTTACGCGATTGTACTCGTGATAAATGAATATCAAGGGAGGGATTTATTATGGCGCGCGCGGAATCCGGTCAAAGCGACGCTGAGAAACAATGGCGCGAGGGTAACTGAGCGAAACGCCGATCGTTAATAGCCGGATAAACATTGCGCGGTGGAGGTTACTCGATAAAGACGATCCCGCCGATCCCGCCGTGAAATCAGCCACCTCGGCAAAGTAGATTAATATGAAGAGCTCAAGGGAGCTGAAAGGAAGACCTTGAGGGAAGACCGATACTTCTAGTCTTGAAATCTTGATAATACAATCGCATTGTAATAAAGCAGGCGGGCGGGCAGAGGAGCGGATGAGCGAACCCCGGAGAATGAAAGGCAGGAGTCGAACATTTTACGGAAACTCCATGCTGAGAAAAGGAAAGCTCGATCGGAGTGGGGACACAGGGGGAGCCGGAGCGCGCGGCGGAAAGGGCGGAAGAGGTAAACTCTGGCAATTTCAGTGATGGCTGGGCTTAGACATCTCTATATCCGGTGAGTAACGCAAACCCCCCTCTGGAAGGACGCGAGACCTTCCACCCTGTGCGCCCCTGAACGCCGATCCCTACCTCCTCTTCCTCCTCTTCCTTTTCCTAACCCTTCTTCAATCCCGCCATGCAAACTCGCCGCGTTCGTCCTTCGTTTCGGCGCGCTCCTCCGGAGAGGAATGGGGTAGGTGGATCTCTCGCGAGGTGGGTTAATCAGTGAAGTGTATAAAGTCCCGGGGATAAAAATAAAATGGCGGGATCTCGAAAATTAAATAAACGACTCGGCCCGATTTCGTCGGCGGCCAAGCTCGTCGTAAGGAGAAGATGGAGCGTAGAGAGAGAGAGAATGAGAGATAGATAGAGAGTAAGGAGGGGGGGGGTGAACTTGGGGATAAAGAAGGATAGTTGGCGTGGACAGACAAGTTGAAGAGAAGGAGGCGGAGATGCGGAGGCAGAGGCGGAAAGCGACAGAAGAAGGTGAACCTAAACTAAAGAGGCCACTTATTCGAATGAAGCCGCTGCAGCTTCCCCACCCTCCTTTCTCTTCCCGTGCCGAAAGCGAGAATTTGACTTTCCTCCACCGTACTCCAACGACAAACTAGATTCGGTCCGAAATTCTTGTCTCGTTTTCTTTTTCTTGTTTCTTCTTTTTTATATACGTTGTCACTACCGTTGTACTGAGTAATACGTTGTAATGAGCGTATTGTCGTGAGAACTGGAGATACTTCAGCCGCGTTTTCCGTCCGCTTTCGACAAGAGGCTGCCGTTGAGAACAGTTCGTCCGAAATAATCACGAGCGGGCTGAAATGCTTACTGAGCGTTGCTGCAGAGCGTGCTCGAAGAAGGAAAATAGGTGTAACGCACATGATACACGCGACACTTTCGCTAGGAATAACTATCTCGCTTTAGGAAGGCTCGCAGCGAGTCGCCTGAATATATTTAATATTCATCAGACGTGGCAAATTTAATTAACTTTACAACCGTGGGCCACATAACGAGCGCATTGTCGTACAAATTGGCCTGACTTTAGCCAGATTTTGCGGTTGTCGTCGACGAATGTCATGACTTCCGAATTACCCGAGTCGAAACTTCAACTTTAAATTAACTCCGCAATTTCATCGAACTTGAAATCGAATGGAGCATTTCGAGATATGACATTGTGCGGCTTATCATCCCACGCTTGATGCTACAAATAGTTAATCGTTTTCTCCGTGCTGAGGGTTAAAGCAGCACATTTCAGAATTATTTGATGGTTCAGTTATCATAATATTCCATCTGCATCTGATATTTTCTTAGTTTTAATAAAGTAACATATCAATCAAATATAACTTACTCGACTGCAGACTATGCTAACTCTTTTAAGAACTTCGGGTTTCATCAATATCAAACGCACCAGAAAGACATGTGTTTTTAAAGATAAAGTTTATTATTTTATTAATTCCGTCGTTCCATATTTTTTTATACTGATTTATACTGATTTATACTGATTATTTAATATATGCTTATCACATTAATATTTTGCTTATTAAAATCGATGAAAAATCAATCGCAGATGGAAAGTCAAGATGATCAAATATTAAGTAATATAATAATGAAACAAGCGCTTCTCCTTTAGTCTTCAATATAGCGGGAAAAACAGCGAATAAATGTCTGTGGCATCAAAATTAAACGATATAAGTTATATCTCAAGGATCTCCACTGGTCCTTCAAGTTCAATGGAATTTGCAGGGTTAATGTAGAACCAGAATTTTGACTCGTCTAGCCGCCTTTAAGCACGAGAACTCGGGATATGATATAGAAACCCTTTAGGAAGCTTGAACGCCAAACAATGATGGCAAACTTAATTAATTCCAACAGAGAGAGAGAAAAAAAATGAGGATCAAGAGAAAAGGAAAGAGAAATAGAGAAAGAGAGAGAGAGAGAGAGAGAGAGAGAGAGAGAGAGAGAGAATGATGAGGAGGAAAATACTGACAGCTACTTTTTTTATCATATTGAGATGAAATATGTTGCGTTGAGTGGTAAGACGCTTGTCAGTCACTGTCATTCTCTCTCAGCTTATCACGGCGAAATAAATCCGTGCATTTAGCCCGCGGTAAAGAGAAGAGGAGAAAGCCAACTAACGGAATAAGCGGCCGAATTTTCGTCGCGAAGGCGCAAGACTCGAACAAAAGATGGGGTTGAAGACGACGGGGGTCGGTTACCGCTCGCTCGCTCGCAGCGGTTAACCCGACGAAGAATAAGGTGGAAAAATATAAGTCACGAGAGGGATGAGAGTACGGGACGGGGATATTAGGATAGTAGAGCGGGGCCCCTTGGGTCGTTAGCGGAGATAAGAGCGGATAGCGGCGGAATGGTAATGGAAACTCGGCGAGTTCCACTTATTACGCCGTAGCATTATGTAAATACCGGAAGGCTATTACAATTTTACAACTTACTAGGAGTGGCTTTATAGTTTCATCGCTTGGCTGAGGGGGGAGAGGTGGTGAGGGAGAGGGCCGCTCGTCTCGTCCTTCTTCAACGACCTCCCCCATCGCCACCCTCACTCGATACCTCCGCACGCGGGGGTCGTGTGCATATTTTGGGCTCGACTTTAACGTTTACAAAAACGAAATCGTCCCCTGAAAAGGACGAGACAAACAGCCGTTTCTCTGCGGCATAATCCATCTGCGAGAATTTAATATTGAATTTATAATTAACATCTCTCTCTCCCCCACGTGTGGTCCGTTGCGTAATAACGTAAGTCGGTCTCTCTCGCATTAATTGTAAATATCGCGCGCAATCGTCGGTCTGCTGCGCGATTCACTCTTAAAAAAAGAAAATAATAATAATAATTACAGATTACAGAGACATTACACGCGAATAAAATGAAATTTGGGAAAATAAAAGAAACAAAAATGCATTAGCCGCTATTACGGTACACAAAGCGGATACTTTTATATTTTATTGGCGCGATCCGTTTGCGCGCGCGCGTGTGTGAAATAAAAACTTCATTCCCCGACGAATTAAAATTATTGCGTAACGCAAATGACGAGCGGGAACGCGAAGCCCGCGATAAAAGGCGCGCTTAATAGCGGCGTGCAATTTCACAAAAAAATAGGAATGATAGAACAAGACAAAGACAATAGT